AGACGAAAAGGGGAGAGAATTTACCAGAAGAAATACTTAAAGAGATGATGGTGGATAATTCTAAAGGAATAAGAAGACAAAACGGTATGTTTTGTACGGAACTTGGGAAGTCCACAGAGGAAGTACGGAGGAAGCACAGGGAAGAGAAGGATGCCTCCTAAACACAAACATAAATAATACAAGGGCAGGTGTGGGGGTAGGGAAGAGCAGAGTGATGAAAGAGATATCTTGATGGGGGGTCCATCTGGGGGATAGGGAGAACCCTGGTGCCAGGAATCCACAAAGATGATCCCAGCTAAGACTTCTAGCAATAGGGATCTTCTCTTCACTGTGAACTGGCTTTCTCCTGTAATCAGATTAATCACCACCCTAATTGTCATCAGAGAGCCTTTATCCAGTAACTGATAGAAGCAGATGCAGAGATCCACAGCTAAGCACTGGGCCAGGCTCTAGGGGTCCTGTTGAACATGGGGAGGAAGGATTATACGAGCCAGAGTGTGTCAAGATCATGATGGGGAACTCACAGAGACAGCTGACATGAGCTAGTGGGAGCTCATGGACTCTGGACTGGTAGCTAGGAAGCCTGCATGGGACCGATCTAGGCCCTCTGGCTGTGGGTGACAGTTGTGGGGCTCTTAGCAGTGGGATCAGGACCACTTCCTGGCACTTGAGCTGGCTTTTGGAACCTATTCCCCATGCTGGGATGCCTCACCCAGCACCTCTCTTGATGGAGAGGAGGAGCTTGGTCCTGCCTCAACTTGATGTGCCATGCTTTGTTGACATCCATGGATGGCCTGCCCCTTTCAGAATGAAGGAGAAGTGGATGGGAGGGTAGAGGGGGAGGTAGGAGAGGGAACAGGAGGGAAGGAGAGAGGGGAAACTGTGCATATGTAAAATAAATGAAAAAAACTTAGTGCAAAAAGACTACTTTTCCAGCAGTACTGTAATAGTAGAACAATACAATTGCCCAGCAAAAGGAGAACAGAATAATACATCATAGAATATACATGTAATGAGCTGCAAATTGAAGTAGATGAGTTAAGCTATGCTAACCATCACCATAGCTGCACAAGGCATGCCAAGAGTGAGCACACAAATAGTCACAGACAAGGAAGAGACCCACAGAACCCAGCTCTGCCCAGGGGAGCTGTTGGCAGTTGATGACTGTTGTGGAATATTAGTTGAAGATGTGTTACATTTGTTTATGCTGTGGAATATTTGTTTTAATGGTGCAAAGATGTGCTGCATTCTTTTATGTTGCATCTGTTTAACTCTGAAGCTGTATTACTTTGCCTGCCTGAAACACCTGATGGTTCTAATAAAGAGCTGAACAGCTGCTAAATAGTAAAAGGCAGGAGCAAGGGTAGACAGGGCTGGCAGGCAGAGAGAGCAAATAGAAGAGTAGAAAGAGGATCAAGAAGAGGAGGAAGACACTGGGGACACCGGCCCAGCCACACAGCCAGACATGGAGTAAGAAGTAAAGAAAAGATATACAGAAGTAGGAAAAGGTAAAAGCCCAGAGGCAAAAAGGTAGATGGACTAATTTAAGTTAAGAAAAGTTGGCTAGAAACAAGCCAAGCTAAGGCTGGGCATCCATAAGCAAGGATAAGTCTCCAAGTATTTATTTGGGACCTGGGTGGTGGATCCCCAAAAGAGAAAAGACTAAAAACGACCAAGTAGAGATGACTGTGGGTGACAGGAAGACATTGCCCTGAGTGGTGTGGCCACTGAGTCATCACACTTCCATGGATAGCTTTGCACCTATGTCTGGGTTAAATCCAGTGAGGTAAGAGGATGGCAGATGAATGATCCTATCTTATACGTAAGTGAAATTGTCACAGAATAAGTGATTTTTTTAAAAGATATGGGTCCAAAAAAAGTTGTATAACAATTAGCACGTACAATGCTAGGGATGGTTAGTGCACAGTTGAAATCCTAGTGGGAAGTGAGAGCAGGAGAATCAGGTACTCAGACATCTCCAGCTATATGGCATGTTTGAGGCCAGCCTGGGCTACATAAGGCACTGTCTGAAAAAGCCAACAATCACAGCAATTAATATAGACACATATCATATAGTGTATCTACCCAAAACTCGACACATATAAATGCCAATTGTGTGATGCTTATAGATATAGAAATACATGGAGAAAACAAAACCATGCATGAGTATAGGACACCAACTTCTGGCAATGGTGAGCATTTCCTCTGGAGAGACACAGGAATAGTGCCAACTATTTAACCCAAGGATCCGAGGGTACAGCTCTATGGAAAAGCACAGGCTTAACATATGAGGGGCTGGGGTCAACCCTAAGTGGCTTCCTGTCACCAGAAGGAAGCAAGGTTAATAAACTGAGCATGTAAAACCTAAGCTAATGACCTAGAAGCTACGGATTTATAAATCTGAGTGTCCCAAACAGTGTTGTTTGTATTAATCTCTAGTTTCTCAAAGTACAGACTACCCCACAATAAAAAAGGAAACAAGGCAGTAATTATTCAAAGGTGATAGGACTACAGAACCAATAGCGAGGTATACAATCAATAGGATTCCTATGTATTTACAATAACGTGTACAAGCCTTTTATTGGGAGAAATCAATCTTATTTTCAGTACCCAACCAAAATACACAGTGTCCAGAAAGTCTTTCAAGAAAACTACACAGGACCCACAAACAGCTAGAGACTGTACTGTGAAATCTTACCACATCATCTGATACGAGGTCCACACCTGAACTGTATCCTTCAAATGAGAACTGTGAGTACATTCCAACATGTGCCTGGGCTCACCACCTAACTGTTGGCCTTTGTAAGGGACTTTACTGTATTGAAATTAGCCACACTGCGTGTGATTTATGTGCTCCAAATAAGGCCCTGGCAGCTTGGTGACCTTTTGTGTGATGCCTGCAATCCACCTCTGCTCATTGCATGGCTTTGCCTACTCCCTCTGCTCTCCCTACTTCCTGCCATACTCTCTGTCTCATTTACAGGTAAATCTCACAGGCCTCATTTTCACTCGGAGCTACTCACAGCTGACCTTTAATGAAAGCCCTGTTGACTTTGGATGACTGTAATAAGAAAGCCTGTCTCCTCCTCGATGGCAAATCACCTGCGTGAATAGTAATGCATTCCCACTGCTGTGTTCAGAGAACAGCATCAACTTCCCTTCTGCTGTGAGGAAAGATGGGGGTCAGAATATTCATTCCAGGGCACTGACCTATCACAGACAGGAGTCAGGCAGCCCTCCCTGGTGCCCTCCCCCCCAAGCCTGCCTCTCTCACAAGCCAATGCTGCCAAATCACTTCGGCCTAGCAGGAGGCACATTAATTAGTCAGCTACTTAGCTAACACTTATTCAGATGGGAGCTGGCCTTGCTCTTAACTACTAATAAGGCCAACCTGGCCTGGCATTTTGGCTAAGAGTGTAAAATATGGACTTAACCTTTGCCTTTCTTGGACTTTGAAAAGCTCACAAACTCTGAGGTAAACTGCATGTTGGAACTCATGCGCCATGGCCCATAAGATGCACCAGGAGGCAATGGGTGATCCCTTGGGTGGGGCCCAAACTAATCTGTGCATTTTCATTTCTTCTTGAGGCGAAGCAGATAGATTTCTCAGCAGGATAAGGGTTAGCTTTCAGTAGGACCTACAGTACATGGAGGAAGTGTGGGGCCATGTTTACACAGAAGTCATTTCCTCTGTGTGTTTTAATCATTAAAATAAATCACAGTCATCTAAATTTTAAAGTAGCCATGTGTGCATGATGTCACAGGAGGGAATATGCCACAGAAGTTAGTTGCTGAGAACAGCTTGGGGCTTTGAAGAAAAAGGCACTGTTACATCCTGACCAGCAGAGGGCAACATGACACAGGCCAAGAAGCTTGGTGTTCTTTGAAATCAGTCCATGAAGACAAATAAAATACACTTAGAGCTGAATAGGCTTCAGAGGGGAAATTATGTACTCCAGTGATAATTTATGTACTCCAATGATTGTGATGGTGCCAATGTTGAATTAAAATGATTAATATGGAGTTTATGGCATTGACAGTGATGTGTCTAAGCCAAGGCATATCCAGCAATTCCACACAATTCTACAGACATTCACATACAACTTGACTCAGTGACCTTGCTAGATACAGTTCCAGAAGGCAAACTTCAAAGGGCCCATACTCACCTTGAAGAACAATATGGCTGGAGCAGGCTTATCTAATGCCCCACCTGTGTCTACCACTTCACCTCCAGAGGGCAGCCTCAGAGAGGCAAACCAGTGGCCTAAACTATCTATTTCATTTGTCCAAGTACTACAGAGACAAATCAAATGGACTGAGGAAGCATCCTCTTAAAGGTGTAGATGGAACCTTTCTAATACTCCACTGACTTCTCCCCTTAGGACAAGACTCCCACTAACCACACAGCCTACTGATCCACATCCTGAGATAGTCATATGAAGAATCACAAAAGGTAGTTTCTTAATAGCCTTGCACAGAGAAGCTTCCAGAATCAAAGAAATGACTCAACAACCAGCCACAGAATGTTTGAGACCTTGGCACTAAAAGCTGTGGATCCTTTATTTCCTGGTGCAATTGCATAGCACATGGTTACCCACACAATCGTCAGCCACTCTCTGGGAACTTGCTAAGCACAGTTGAAGCTCAGAGGAAGGCATGTTCCACCTAATGAATAGTGTGGCACCATGATAGAATGTGGGTTTCTGTTTCTTCCATCAGAGGATCATATTCTCAGGAAAGATGGCCAGATTGGTCACCCTCCGCCAAATGTCATCTCATCTCATAACTAGGTGGTTAGGGAAACCTGGGGGTCAGTGCAATACAGATTCAGCCATCAGGGGACTGTAGCATCTCTAACAGCCAGGATGGGTTGTGAGGACCACTTTATCCTTAGAGCCCATCCTTAGCACATAGAACTTTCATCTTCCCAATGCTCTCTCCCAAGGAAGCCCCAATGACTGTCACTCAGGCCCAAAGAAAGCCCATGGTCACACACTTACTTATCGTTCACAAGCTTCCCATGTTGGTGGATCTGGTTCTCCATCGTGAAGTTGATTGTGGCACCATGCACATGCTCACCAAAAAACACCTTCATTTTAGATTTATATTCTTCATCCTGGAAATACCGGATCATATCAGGGAACCACACAGTCAGGCCATAGTAACTGCAAGAGAGAAGGCAGAAGGTCTGAGAAGCCCCACGGCTCATTCTGCATCCATGACTTAATGTAGATCAGACTCAATGTAGTAATTTGGTTCATCATTAATTAGAAAATTGAATACAAAACTCATCACATTAACACATCCAAGAGACAGAAGAAAATGGTATTCTGAAATTCATTTGCTTAAAAAGCTCATTTGTTACAAAAAAAAAAAAGAAATGTACCAACAAATCAGAGATGGGCAGACTCCTTCCTTAACCTACAGAAAACACATCTTAACTCAAAAGCCAGAACTGTAGTAAAAAGGGACATATTAAAGATGTTCCCACTAGTATGAGGGGCAAGACAGCATGCTCATCACTGACTTAGCTGTTCTTACACAACCTGGTCAGATGAGAGAAAGAAACAAGAATGAGGGCTGAGCAAATAGTTTAGTGGATAAGGTCCTCACTATGGTCGTTCAGATCGTTCAGATCCCCGGCACCAGCATAAAGTCTGGGTAGACAAGATGGCCCTCCTGGGGAGGTAAAGACTGGGAATTCCTAGGACAAGCTGGCTAACTAGACTAGACTAGATCCAGGTTATGTGTCACCCTGCCTCAGCAAATAAAGTGGGAACAATCTGGGAAGATACTCAACTTTCAATATCTGGCATGAACACACACTATATGAGCATACATATACACACCACTGTAAGGAGTAAGGTTTTTCCGCCCACCGCTGATCTTGGCCCGCCACTGTGCCAGCCCCAAAGAACACACAGAGACTCTGTATTTGATATAATTCTGTTGGCCAGTTACTTGTTTCTTATCAGCTAGCTCTGTCTTAAGTATTAACACATTTCTGTTAATCTACATGTCTACATATTTCCATGTGCTTTCATCTTACCGGGGAATGGGCTGACATTGTGCTCTCCCCGGTCTCTCCATCTGGACCTCTCCTTACTACTTCCTCTTTCCTCCTTGTCTCCTAGTCCCTCCTATCTTCCTATCCTATTGGCCAACAGTGCTTTATTTATTAACCAGTATGAGAAACATATATACAGAATCGCATCTCCTATCACACCACATTAACACATGTAACAAACATAGAAATAAAAAAATATAAAACTAGTTCTCCTTTTGAATACTGTAGTTTATACCTTAAACCCTAAGATGTCAACTCAAAGTAATAGATACATTAGACTAACAGTAAAGATGCTCCATTCTATTATGTCAAGAATGCACGTATGTATAGAGGAGAGCTTACTAATGCCTAAAAAATGTTTCTGGTGGTATTATTTCTTTTGATCCTGAATCACTCTTCCATGAATCTAGTTCTGACAAAACATCCCCCATTGCAAAGTTTCCTGCACATAGGACTAGACATTGTGACAGTGTGTACAATAGCAAAATTCTGGAAAATCACAGGTGTCTAGAAAAGAAGACTTGGTTAATGATGGGTGATGGGGTAATATAGGCTACTACCCAGACATATAATTCCACTGCAAAGAAGGAAAGGGCAGCTAAGGTAGCATATGCTTATAATTCCAGCATTTAGGAGGTAGAGGCAGGAGGATCAGGAGTTCAAGGACAGCCTCAGTTACATAGTGAATTCCAGTTAGCCTGGACTACATGAATTCTGTCTCAAAACAAGGAAGGAAGGAAAGAAGGATATAAGGGAGAAGGGACAGATAGAGGGAGAGGCAGATGGAGAGAGAGGGGGGTTGCTTGGGGGGTTGTAGGCTGTAGAACAAAGCAATCTCACAGATCTAAGTTTACAATCTTGCTAATGAACACTTGTGTGCCAGATGCCCTTGGTGTGCACAGCTGAACAGCCTCTGAGTGCCACACACACGTGCCCTCTAGAACTGACCTAAGAAGCAAGGTAATGCTATCGGAAGCCAAAAAGTGCCTGGGATACCAGCCTGTAGTTTAAGGCCAGAGCCAGCTCTGGCTCGCTGTATCTTTCTTCTATATTGTTGGGCACAGTATGGCAGGAACTGAAACTTTATTCAGACATTAGCCTTCTGGAAAGTACAGGCATCTTCAGCTTCGGGTTAAATCTAAGTGAGTAACAACTCACAGGCCGATCTCACTTCTGTAGCCAGTAACAGGAAAGGACTCCCATCTGGCTACTGGGAAAATCGGAAATATTGGCTCAGGGGCTTCTCAGAAAAGTACCATCAGTTTAAAGAAGAAAAACAGAGGCTTGGTAATTGACAATTACAGCTAATGGTAGCAGTTAGGTCACAGTCAACAATCAGTGCTTACTTGAACTCTGCTAAGGGGGGGACCTTTGCTGTTAAGTGGGAAGGAGGAAGAGGAAGAGAAGGAGAAGATGATGGTAATGATACTGAAGTTATGCACACATCACCACATCACCATTAGCTTTATTAGTTCGAGAAGCTTGTATATACTGAAGAATTCCATTGTACACCATAAACATGAAGATTTTCTTTTTTTTTATTTTTATTTTACATGTCAATCCCAGTTCCCTCTCCCTCTCTCTCTCCCTCTTCCCCTCTCTCCCCTGTCACATGCACCCCGACCACCCCCCCTCCCACCCACCCACCCCACCCCACATGTAGGGTGATGCCATCCAGGAGGAGTCATCTAAATCTGTCAAGTCATTTGAAGTAGGGACTAGAACACGCAGATTTTCTATTTGTCAGCTATACCTCAGTGTGAATGGAAGAGAAAGCTTGGAAGGGTCAGCCTCTCCTTCCTTCAGGCACTTGTTCTGTCCACAAAAGCCTGCAGGCACTCTGAAATCACAGCAAGACTGGCCTGAGGCTGGAACACATCCCCCTCCTGACTGCCCTGAGGATTCTTGTTGGCATGAGAGGTTTGTGTTCACAGAAGCCACTAGATGGGGCTGCTCGTGACTTGCAGCCCAAACCATCCACTCTGAGGCCAAGTTATAATCCTCAATCTATCAGCCAGGCTGACATGAGATGGAACTTACCTTAATGCCATGGTGAACCAGACTACAGCCAGAATCAGGGTGTTCATTCTGTATGGCCCCATCACACAGTACAAGGCGTTATCCCAGACCTAAACCACACCAGAGAAGGACAGTTAAAGGAAGGGACGGGTGACAGGGAAAGCACATTCCTCAGATTTGCTAATAAAGTGCCTAGGACATCCCAGAAGAAGGGGGCATCCCAGCCTCTCCCAAAGGAAGAAGCCTTGTGTACATAACAAGGCAAGCCCAACCCTTCTTTCCTGTCAGCCTTGAACATCAACAGCCCTATAGTACTCCTTCCTCCTCCCCAGGGAACATGGAATGTGTGTTAATGTGACCAAAAGCACACCAAGGTTGGGTTCCAATGCATTCAATAACCAGTATCCGTCACTTCTACACAACCCCCCCCCACCGTGAGCCCCACAGGCAGGGTGACACCTGAAATGTTTATTGACCATAAAGCATGAACCCATTGAGTCTCAGCAGAAGCTAGAAGGCTTGATCCTTCCCTGAAAGACCCCTGGAGAAATAGAATCACTGTCTGATTCCTTCCCAAAGTCACTTAAAATCCCAGGGTCCTTTATTTTCGTCACATCTTCCCAGCTGTGCATTACTTAAAGAGAAGTTTCTGGAGAAAAGAGAGCTTGCTTAGACCATCAAAGCCTTGGCCTTGATAAGAACAGCCAGGCAAAGACACTAAAGTTTAAAGCACTCACATCTCTAGGCACAGGACAAGTTTAGAGTTGGCCCTGCATGGAACAGACAACGTCCTCGGGACTGTCTCCTCTTCATATGCTGCCTTAGTTTAAGGATGCTTGTGTGGCCTTTCTTCACCCACTGAAATAAGAGACTCCCATGGAGCCAGTCTCCCCTCCAAATATGTGGTCACAGGTCATACCTGCTTGAAAATGGTCATGAACCTGACCAGCCAACGCTGGTACCAAGTTCCTGTTGAACTCTGGATCTCAATGAATTCATCCATTTGCTTGGGTGTTTTGATGTGAGAAACCTGGAAAGCAAGGACAGATGTGGCTAGCTCAGCACCAATTAGCTTTAATTTTTGTTTTGTTTTGTTTTCTTTGTTTAATGTAATTGACTTTACTGAGTTATCTAGCATTTAAAAGGTGTTCAACAATCCACTAGTTATGGTTTTTTAATCAAAGATTTGCATGGAAGCTCTCATGTCACCATACCTGAAAGTGAACCTTCCCATATGGTTAAGTCTGACTGCAAGCAAAATGAACTAGAATCTTTTCAGTACATCAAGTCATTGAGAAATGTATGCTACCAGGACTATAATATGTTGACTGATAGAAGATGATATTACCTTAAATTCACACTTGTCTAACTAATGGGTATAAATGTCACAGAAGGCTAGAATGTTGGGAGGAGATGTTGCTACTTATGATGTTTTAAAAACACAACAGAATGAGAGGAATCACGGTTTCAATGGCATCCCAGTTCCCTTGGTACAAATGAGTTTTGGAGTCGAGTAAAGTGGAATAGCTATGTATTCCCCTCAAGGGCTATGAAAACATAGAAAGTCCAATGCAAACCACCCTTGCTCACCAAAACAAAAACTTCAAGTAAACATGATCTCTAAACCAACCATTAAATTGCAGACCTAGTCAGTGTTAAGGAGACTCCTGCCCATCAAACTCCTTTAGTGGAGTTATCCAGGTCCATGATGTAGACATTCTCCCCAAATTCATAGGACCACAAGAATGCTGTGCTCCAAAGGCCAGAAGCAATTCTATTGGTCCTCTAAGAATGCATTTGAATAGGTATAGACAGAGTTGAGCCCTCCATCCCTTTCTTCAGTCAATAAACTGAGGATATGAAGATGCAAAAGAGATGGGCTGGGTAATCTTCAGGATGGCCAGGCACCTGATCAACAATGTGCTGACAGTCACATCTGTGCTCTCGGGACTCCAGGCTGCACAGCCTTGGAAACTGCTCTTTTGTCTGGGGTTAGCCTGGGAAACTAGACAAGTGTCACACAAGTCTCAGCAGAAGCATTCAGTGGCAGTTGATGGAGCAGGGCTTCAAATCACCTCACCCCATGGACATCACAGCACCAGCCACCGCCAGAGGAGGTCAAAGGGAAAGGGTGACACCCAGTTAGAAAGCCCCTTATAAACCACACTCCAAACCACCAAAGTAGCCTCTGTGCTATGAATCTCCTTTGCTTTGTTCCTTGGGGAAATAACACCCTGTTCCTGGGCTTCTGGAGAGTGGGCGTGTTGATTTCAAGCACAACTGCTGTAATTTACAATTAATTAGAACACTCTCTTTGGTGCCATGGAGAACAGCATATGCCCTGTGTTCCTGCTTCCCCTGCAGAACACAAGTTCTTCACAGTATGCCCCAAGGTCCTGACCCTCCAGAGGTGTCTCTGCCGGCAAAGCTTTTGGGAGGTGCCTATCAGAGTTGCAAAGCCTGCACTCAAAAGTCAGGCAAGAGGTGAACACCCAGCCTAACAGATTTGGAGCTGAGCTGCTCTTCTGCTTAGGCTACTGAGCACACTATGAGGGGACACACAGGAACCAGCTGGTGTCTCTGGTCCGTGGGTTGGGTATCCACCTTCTGCTGATGGCCAAGGTCAGCCCAGTCATCTGAAGTTAGTAAACTCTCTGTTCCTCCTTCCCTTTTTACTTTCCTTCCTTCCCCTTCCTCTTCATTCCCCTTTCCCTCTCTTCCTTCCCCGCCCCCTTACCCTTTCTCCCTCTCTTCTTCCTTCCTCCTTCACCTCCTTTCTTTCCTCTTCCCATCTTTCTTCTCTTTCTCCCCTTCTCTTCTTCCTTCCCTCTGTCTTCTTTCCCTCTCCCTAGTTTCTTTTCTCTTCCTTGGACTATCCAGTTATCCATTGCACATAGCTCATGACCAACAAAGCAGTATGGAACATAGAACTGTAACTTTTTAGTTCCACTTTCCTATTAGGCAAAAAGCACTAAAAGCAGATGTGAGACCTTGGGTCTAAGAAGTAGCTAGCATACATTTTGGGGTAAGACACAACCCAGCATCTGAGAGCCCTGTGCATTCCTCTCCATGGACTTTCTTCCCCGTGTGCTGCCATCCCTGACCAAAAAAGGACCAGTGTGCTTGTGCTTGTTGCTTAAATCATCTCAGACTTCCCAGAAGGAGTGGAGGAGCTAGCAGAATGCCCCAACCTCTCCCTGGGAAAGGTTTCCCTGAACTCCCACAGTGGATCCCAACCACCTCCAGGATGGAACTGCAGACTCACAAATCACTTCCTGTTCAGATAAAAGTCTAATTGCAATGTGAACTGGAGCTTATCTCTTTGCTCTTTGTCAAGTGAGAATGTGGGATCCTTTTCTACAAAGGACAGCCAGTCGCACAAGCCAAGCCAGCTTTCAGAAGTATCTTAAAGAAGCCACAGTCCGGTTGCCCTGGGAGAGGCTTCAGTGAGAAAGGTGACCAAGCCTAAGTAGAGAATGAGAGTGTAGCCCCTGGGAATGAAGGATGCACAGACAAGCACACATACAAAAGGGTGGAGAGGAACTCTCTAGCATGATGTCTCTTAGGAGAGTCCGTAGTTGTGGTAAATCTGTCGTGAGCTGTAGAGGAATTCCAGACTTGAAAGACCAGTTGGCTGCCATGCATGAGCCAGGGAGGTTTTCCTGTTTTGGATCATGTGGGGCGTGGTGAGGGTGAGTGGGTGGTAGGGGAGGGATGCAAATTCACAAAAAGAGGTAAGGAAGGGAAAGGACTGGAGGAGAGGAAGGGCAAAGCTATGTATCCTGCATAATTTCCGTTATGGCCAATTTTCAGTAACACCACTAAATTCCAAGTGCTTGCTGCAGGTGGTGGGTGGCTGTCTGGGTGAGATGCTCCACACCAGGTTGATGTGGTCCAAAAGCCATTGCAGCTAAGATGGAATCGGAGAGTGGAGGTAGAGAGACAGCCACGGAAACATTTCCCAGGATGCAGCAGGAGCTTGGACTTGCCCAGGCTGTGGAACAGGGCAGGGTGGAGGGCTGCAGGAATAATGGCATGGGCAGGGAGAATGTCCTAACGCCTGGCTTCTGTGACTGTAGCTCACTTGCGTGTGCATCATAGTCCACCAGAGAAAGCATGTGTGGTTAGGAGACTGGAAGGGCCGTTGTCCCTTAATGTCTTTCATTTGGAGCGCTGTCTGTTGTTTGTGCCTCATAATAAATTTTAATAAGGAAAGTATGGCCCCATAAAAACACAAGGAAAGTATCTAGAACAAACAGAAATAACAGAAGGGGAGAATAGGGGGTGGGGAGGATGGGGCTGTTGCTAATACATACAAAAGACATGTTTATAAATATTTTAAAGTAAAAGTAAATCAAATGTCCATTATTCAAAATAATTTACAAGCATTAGAACTGGGCAAACATGCCATTAAGCAGTTTTCTATAAAGAATATAATGAGCTAATTAATGCAAAATATATGTCATAACATTTTTCATAACTGCTAATATATTGTAATACTCCAAGGTAGGTACTGTTTCGGATGCTTTGTTTAATTTCTGTAGTAACTGTCTTCACAGACACATTGTCTGCCTTTCCCACGAGGAAACCCACGTGCTGCCAAGAGATGCTACTTGAGAAGCCAGGGCTTTAAAAGCAGCACATCAACAAGGAGACATTAGGGAATGGGAGTTGGGTGGGCGCTCATCCGGGAGGGCTTCTCAGAGGAAATGGATTTGAAGTGGGTCTGAAAGGGCCTTCCAAATGCAGGTATAAAGAGCTGCCTGTAGCGAGCCTTGCTTGTGTCTGGTTACGAAACACGGCAAGTAGGTGCACAGATCTCTCTGTAAGGGACATCTTCATGGAAATCACAACTTCCTGGTTCCTAAACCCAGGGGAACAGCCAGTGCTGATAGGGTGTAGAGAAACGGGCAGCTTGCTACTTAAGGTTTTGAAGAGTAGCGTGACTCTAATGAGACATTACTTGGGAATCATCTCAAGGTTGTATCTAAGTATTGAGAAATATATACCTGTGCATGTATGTATGTAATAACAACTAATGGGAAGGAGGCCATGAATTTGAAAGAGAGCAAGGAACAATATATGAGAGGGTTTGGAGGGGGGAGGGAATAAAGGGTATGATTATATGATAATCTCAAAAAATAAAATAATAAAGAATCAATGCCATTTGAGCCAGTAATTTTTTTTTTTATATACAGAACATGACAGGAGCTTCATGGATGAGAAGGTTCATCACAATCTTTACAGAAACGAGGTAATAAGAGAGTGGAAAGGAACCTCTGAAATTAGGGACATGTTGAAAACAGTGTTAATGTTCTGAGCACTGACACTCATTAAAATGATGGCATCATTCATTAAACCCACAGTGTGAGAGGCTAATGGGGAGAAGCAGTGGCTGTGGATGCTTCAAGGCAACATCCAAAGTGCTAGCGAATGCTGCTAAGTACAACACACACATCTTCATGTGTACATTTGTTCATAGGACTATAGGTAGTCTTCTTTTTCTAAATTCACTCATTTTTACTTTTTGGGGAGCCACCTTTTGTATGCAGCTGTGCTTATGTGCCACATGTATACCTGGTACTCACAGAGGCCGAAAGAGAAGGCCAGATCCCCTGAAACTGAAGTTACAGTGAGCTATCATGTGGGGGCTGGAAATGCAAACCCTGGTCCTCTGCAAAAACAGCAACCACTGAGCTATCTGTCCAGTTCCATAGTTTTTTTTTTCTTTCTTGATGGTTTGGCATGTGTGTATGTGTGTGCGTGAGCATATGTGTGTGTGTATGCACTGCATGCATGTGTGCCTGTGTGTGTGTATGACTTCATACATACTTGTGAAAGTCAGAGGGTAACTCTCAGAAGTCAGTTCTCTCCTGCCACACTGTGGGATCCAATGATGAAAGTCAGGTCATCAGGCTTCATGCAAGTGCCTTTACCCATGGAACTATTTTGCCTATCTTACCAGCCCTAATTGTTTTTTTTTTTTCCTATTATAATTTTCTAATAATATTTCCTAAAGAAAAATCTAGAAAGGCAGCCGCCAAAGGCAAAGACTAAGGCTGAGGAGAGCCTAGGCAGTAGAGTGCTTGCTGCACACATGGGGCCCTGAGTTTGACTCCCCAGAACCCACAGTAAGAAAGCTGGGTATGTGTGTGTCCTTACAGTCCCAGCATAGGAAGGTGGATCCCTGATGTCTGCTGGCCATCTAGCTTATAGGTAAAAAGTGTGAGCCCCTGTCTAACAACAAAAAACAAATGAACTAACGAAACAAGGTATAAAGTTGACCTCTGGCTTCCGTATGTACCCACACAGCCACACATACAAACAAACACACACACACACACACACACACACACACAGACACACACACACACTGCAAAGAATAATTCTAATGAAGGGATCTTCCAGGTATGAAAGTAATAGAAATATTAAACAGATAATTTTCTTCCAACAAAGTTGATGTTCCACAAAAGCACACAGTGACAAAGTGCCTTGTTGGTCCTGGCTAGCACCCACCGTGAACACCTTCTCAGGGGTCCCCTTAGCCCTCATGTTGGTGTCATGGACTTGCTTGAGTATCATCCATGCTTCATCATGTTTTCCCATCTGGAAATCCAAAGATAGAGACATGAAAGTTCATAGGTGCATACATCTTCTTTTCATTTGGATGGAAACCCCTACACCCCTAAACAGTGCTCTGGGTCTGAAGGATTGGACGTGGAACCATTAGCCACAGTTGAGGACTATAGCAGCCTACAGCAATTCCCCAGTCTGCATAGGAAGGACAACCAGGTTGGGACTTCAAGGGGTAAATGGCACGTGTTATTATCACTCTGAATAATTACCGTCAGTATGAAGTTGAGTGGATCATGGAGAAGGAGCCATGGTCCTCTCTGATGAGACAAAGCAAAAACCTAATATATTATGTGTGAGGTCCTAAGTACTACTGCACGCTGGCTGTGCTGCAGAACGGCCTTGTTCAAGGAAGGCTGCTGCTGGTGGAATTAGTTAACATTACCTCAACTGGAGTGGGCTGGTTCCCCAACCCAGTACAACTGGTGTCCTCATGAAGAACAGGGAAGGCCTGCACATTTCAGAGGGGACCCAGCTCTGCTGGTACCTTCACTTTGTGCTTCTCATGTATGGAACTTTGAGACAAATTTGTTGAAGTCGCTCTCTGGTGCCCATAAGAAATGCGTAGATGTAGGATTCATTTCACAATGACCCTGGTTCAAAACTGCCTGCTGTATGTGACCACTAAGCAGGATGCAAGAGGGAGTTCAACACAGATCATCATTGCAAAAATCAATGAGGAAGCTGATCTGGGGACCAAGGCTGTGTGAGACTGAATGCTGTCCCGCAAGGCCAGCTCCCACAGCCTGAACAGGGCAGCCATAAGAGACTCCAGAGTTGACAAAACACTAAGATCACCAGAAACTTCCTAATGGGTAGAGGCCTTGCAGAGCTAAGTCCTAGAGGCTCTGGGACAGTGACAAGATTTACCCAAGAGCTCACTGGAGCCACACATGGGGTCAGGCTTCATGTGAAATGCAAAAGATCTCCTATTCCGGACTCTATGAGGAGGTGGCCCCTGGCTACCTAGGAGAGTCCCTCAATACCCTTCTAGCCTGAGGGAGGGTCTCTGCCTGTTTCACCATGGGCTCCAGTCCCTGACCTGCCACCATCACCAAGAAGAAGGGAACCAGTTTGAATGATAACCACAGTCACAAGCAAGGGAAAGTGTGCAGCAAGCAGTAAGGAGACAGCAGACAGCCAGGGGCTGAGGGAATAAGGTCAGGACTCCTGTAGCTGGTGAAGACTCACCTCCAGCAGGAACCTGGGGCTTTCTGGCATGAACTTCAGTGCCACCATGGACACCGTGCAGGGCAGAGCACAGACGATGACAAACACTCTCCAGCTGTGGAAGTGGTAATTGGTCCCCATGCTGAAGCCCCATCCTGGAAAGAAACAGAAGGTTTGTGGGATAGGCTTGCCCACTGCAGGTGAAGCTGAAGAACAAAGCTCTCAAGCTCAAGGACACTCAAGCCATTTGGGAGAAGCTGCTGAAAAATGCCAACTCCCTGGCTGTCTGGAATGAGCTGGAAGTTTGTATTTTGACAAAGCCTGAGTGCTGGGCCTGCCTGACACTTACAGAGCCTTATATAAATGTATAAAAACAAAAGACAAAAAAAAAAGCTTCCCCTGTTGAAGAGAGAGAGGAAGGATTAATTATATGAGCTGGGGAAGGGTCATGACAGGGAAACCCATAGAGACCTATAGCTAGGAAGCTTGTATGGAACTGACCTAGGCCCTCTGCATGTGGGTGACAATTGTGCAGCTTGGTCTGTATGATGAGTCGTTTACTGCCAGCCTGGTCCCAGAGCCACATCAGCCCCAAATAACACACAGAGAGAGTGTATTATATATAAAGCTGTTGGCAGTTACAGCATTTCTTATCGGCTAGCTCTGTCTTAAATATTAACCCGTTTCTATCAATCTAAGTATCCCCACGTGGTCTTGGCTTACAGGGAATGCCAGCCCTGCATCTCCTTTGCCTGCTACATCTCTGCAGAGAAGAGAGTGATTTCCTGTTTGTCCCTGCTTATATTCTGATTCTGCCCAGCTACATCACTTCCTGCCTGTCTGTACAGACCTCTAGACCTCTATAGTTAGCTAGTGGCAGTATCTGCCATGCTACGTCACTTCCTGCCTGGCCAAACAGTGTTTTATTCATCAACCAATAAGACAAACATATATGCAGAAGAACATTCCCCATCAGGTCTGTTTGTGGGGCCCCTAACAGTGGGCTCAGGAACACTCCCTGATACTTGAACTGGCTTTTGGGAACTCATTCCCCATGCTGGGATGTCTTGCACAGCCTTGATGCCGGGGGAGGAGCTTGGTCCTGCCTCAGCTTGCCATGTTTGTTGACTCCCATGGGAGGCCTGCCCCACTGTGGATGGAGATAGAGGAGTGGATGGGGAGAAGGGCTAGAAGGTGTTAGGGGGAGGGAAGGGAAGGAAAAGAGGGAGGGGAAACTGTGGTAGATATGTAAAGTGAAAAATTAATAATCAAAAACGAAAAGGAAAGGAAAATAAAAGAAAAACAACATCTGACAAATGTGGCTACGTGCTTATAATCTGAACATTCAGGTGGCTGAAACAGGAGGATTTCTACAAGTCTAACACAATCCTAGGCTACATGGTGAGACTTTATTTAAAAGAAGCAGAAACAGTATCAGTATTTTTACCTTTATCTTTCATTTTTTTCTGACAGGGTCTCATATAGCACAACTTGGCCTGGAACCCACTACATAGTTATTCAAGGATCACCTTGACACCTTTTCATAAAACATTTATTTTTTTATGTCTATGAGTACTTTGCCTGCATATATACATGTGTGCCGCATGCATGCTCTGAACCTAAGGAGGTCCGAAGAGAGTATCAGATACCCTGGAACTGAGCTATGGATGGTTGTAAGCCACTGTGTGGGTGCTGGAAATCGAAACCTGGTCATATACAAGACCAATAAGAACTCTTAATTACTGAACCAAGTCTCCAGCCCTAACCATGAACTTCTGATCCACCTGTCTCTGTTTCCCAAATACTGGGATCACGGGCATACCCAGTTTATATGGTGCTGGAGATAAATCCAGGCCTTTGTGCTTGCTGAACAAACTCTGTACTAACAGAGCTACATTCCCAGCCTACATGGACATTTAATGAACAAACTGTTAACTGAAGATATCCTACAGCACACCTCCACAAATAATGGCCTAGAAGGCATTCTCATTGAATGTTCTTTGCTTCCTACTGGGCAAGAGGCCATATGCCAAGTGGTAGACACACACCCTAGACTGTCATTGTGGAAAGGGCTGCTCTTGTCTTGATCACAGTCATTTAGTGGAAATGAGTGCTCAGAGCGTGATCTGGCTGGGAGGGATTTGGAGAATTCAATAAAGACCTTATTGGTGTCTATGTATTCATCACACAAAGTAATGGTTCTCATAATGACATTTTCATTCAAGCATGTCATGTACTCTGTCTGTACTCATATCCCATTATCTTTTCATGTATCCCCTTCCTATAGTCCCTTCATTTCCCCAATTGCCTCCTTCTACTTTCATATCACACATACATAGTTAAATATAGACTATACATATGAAAGAAAACATGTAATATTTGTCTGAGTCTGGCTTATTTTACTTATGATAATCTCCAGGCTTATCCATTTTCTTGCAAATGCAATAATTCTGTTTTTCTTCATGGCTGAATAAGCCTTCATTCTATATCTGTACCACATTTGCTTCATCCATTCATGTGTTGATGAACATACAGGCTGGTTCCATATTTTAGCTACTGCAAATCATGCTATGGTAAATCCAGATGTGTACCCCACTCTGCAGTATGCTAACATAGATTCCTTTGGGTACACATCTAGGAAGGGTATAACTGAATCATAGCAGGGCCCTAGTTTTATTTTGTTCTTGTTTTTTTTGTGAGGGGGGAGGGGACTCTGTTGTGATTTCCATAGTGGCTGTGCTAGTTTACCTAAGCACTATTTTTAATGTCTTCATGGGGAGGCAACTGCCTGCTTTCAAGGAGCAGCAACACAACACCATGGGAAGAGCTTAGGCTTTTGTAGTCACATAGGTCGGAGTTCAAATCCTGACCATATCATTATCTTAATGGTCTTCACAGCCACAGAATACAGACAATGGTCCTCTGAAAGCTTGCTATGCATGCCCATTCCTGGCATGCATATGGAGTCACTTGCTTCAGGATCAGATTCAACTTGTTCAGAAATAACTATGTGACATTTAGTGTAATAGCTGCTGGGGAAAACGGATGGATTGCTTTTGAAAAGCAAAGACTGAGGTTCCAATACCCCTTGGGGCTTATCTAAAACCAACCCAATCTGTGTTTTAATAGATAAAGCTTCAGAAATAAATACACCCACTCCTAACATTTAGAAGATAGTAACTACTTGGATACAAAACTTCTAGATCTTTAGTTTAAAAAGAACACTTTATGGCTAGCTTGGGTAGTGGGAGGCTTACATTTTGAGTTTTCTATGTCTCTCCATCATGGTTCATCTCGTGTATCCACAATAGACTCTAACCCACATCTGTGTGCCTACAGATACTTCCTCCTGAATGCACACCTGAACAATGATAGCCAAGCAGGGGTCTGGGGACTGAAATGTGGCCTGTTAGGGACATGTGACCACAGCAAGGACACTCATACCTCATCCAGTACATTCCATTTTAATTTAATGAAAAGGCCTTTACTTCCTCCTGAGAGTAACACTAGTCAAGGGAACATAAAAACCATAGCTCAGGTCCAAACACAATTCTGGCATTGTTAGAAACAAAGTTGACCAAAACTTGCCAGGAGTCAAACTCAAATGGATGCCCAAGAAAGAGGGACAAACATTGGTATATTTAAACCATATCCTGCACCAGAAATATTTTCTTCATTATAATATGTATGAACTATCTAGCATCATTATTCTCCCGTGCTTCTGTGGTTTTTCTGGGGATTTCAGTCATTTGCATTTACAGCATTCATTAGGCACATCTCTGGGGCCTTAAATGGAATAAAATAAAATGGTGAACTGCTTCCAAATATTTGGAACAATATTAATTCAGAGGCAGGGATTGTTCTGCTAGCTGATCTGTCAGCTTGACCTACTTTTCTCTGTCAGGATTTCACGAACATCTGGTGGGGTTGACTACAATGAGAGCCAGTCTTCTCTCATATCCCCAATTGGTTTTAGCTTTTCCTGGAATGTCCCCCTTAATTCTCAAAAAAAAAAAAAAAAGACTCCAAGTTTTGTCATTTTCTCTCTCAGTGAATCAGTTGCCCAAATTTCTGGAGTCAAGACTCCCACTGTTCATTCTTACAAAAGCAACTAAAAGGATTATAGTGGATTACACACACCATGCATATGCAAGCATCGGTCTCCTTCCCAGAGTCCCTTCACATTTGTTATAGGACTGATGTCTCAAACACATTGAGAAACAGCATCAAATGTCTATTCACGGTACTTCAAACATTTGGTCTTGGTAAAATGATGCCTAAGGTAAATAATCACTTTTGCTGTATTCTGATTCTACCATGTTTCTAGAATAGTTTTCCTCTAAGCTACTGACTCCTTTGATTAAATCTCTATTTCTAAATTGGAGTACAAAAGTCACAGGTTTCATACGGGCACATGAATAAATAAGGTCCCTATCCATTTGGGGTGAATTATTTAGCCACAAGCTCTGCCGTCAAACAGAAAGCAGTGAACAGACAGCAGCCGTGTGGTCCCTCTCATTTTGGTTCCTTCACTCCCCACCTCAATTTTTCACTGAGACTTTTAGTGGTTGGTACATGCCTGTTATCCTAGCTCCTATCAGGCAGAAGCAGGAGGGCTGCCAGAAGTTCAAGTCCAGTCAGGGCCACAAAGTGAAAAAGAAAGAAAGAAAGAAAGAAAGAAAGAAAGAAAGAAAGAAAGAAAGAAAGAAAGAAAGATAGATAGAAAGGAAGGAAGGAAGGAAGGAAGGAAGGAAGGAAGGAAAAAAACAGGTGTGTGTGTGTGTGTGTATGTGCATGCGTGTGCATTTTATAAACCAGTACAGGTTGAAATGATTAATGCAACTCTCCTGTGCTCTTACAGCTACAGCATCTATCCCTGCCCTTTCTTCGACACTTCTCCTACTGTATGCCAGACATGTGGCAGGGGGAAACTAACCATTCTGTTAATTCCACAGGTGGGGAAGGAAGTACTTCTCACTCATCCAGGACCTGCGTCTTCCAGTATATGGTGATTGGTTTGAGAGGAGAACAGGTCTTAAGCTCATCCAATCAGAGGAAGTCATGGCCTCTCTGTTCTCGTCTGGGATGAGGACATGCTTCGTTTGTACATGTCCTCTGTATCTGTAAACTGATGGGTTAGAGTGACAACTGTGTCCAGGAGGAAAGCTAAGCTCCACTACAACCATCACCTGGACAATCTTCTCAACACTGTTGGCCCCCTGGGAGCCACCATACTGCAGGCTGTGGGGAGTCTACAGCCAGGGCTGCAAAGTTGGGGTGGTATGTCCCACATTGCACAGCACCACTAATTTCGCTCAGATGTTATTCAGATTATTTCATAATAAATACTTATTTATTTTTATTCAGATTTAGCCTCGCCCAAAATGTTTCCCAGTGACTTCTCATAAATGTGGAAATCATTCTATAGAGAAGTAAAAATAATTTTAGTTCTCAGACTTGTATAACTTAATCAGTGGAAAAATTAAATAAAAAATTAAAACATGCATCTGATGAGGGATAGAATGACCTCCTACGGGTGTATGCAATTTTATATCTAAAGTCATGGAAAATGGCCTAATAGCAGAGTTACCAGGAAACTCCCCTCTTTTCCTTACTACCTATTCATAACTTTCACTGCTTCTATGAACTAGTAGGTGCTCAAATATTAAAAATGGCCATAACAATCTGATGGTCCCAAACCATCTACTTTCTAGACCTCCAGCTGGCCTGTTTCCCAACACCCACCACAGATATGGGGTAACAGAACGCGAGTAAAGGTGATACACTCCATTTCATGACCTGCCCTTAAAATTCCTTCATGGAACTGATCCTGCTTTTCAACCTGAAAACTTGAGGGGCCACTTTCCACAACCCAGTCAACAGAATAAGGTAGAAAGCTTTTATTCTGCTCAGAGCTCAAAATTCATAATGCATCATGGCAGAGAAGGAATGGTGTGGACAGTTCACAGCTGTGGCAGCAGGATGTAAAATGAACTCGTCATATCAGCAACCAGGAAGCACAGAGTTCAAGCCAGAGCCAGGTCCAGGCTATAACCCCCTAGCCTGCTCCATGGACCTCTATCTGTCTACCAGCTACATTACAAGACCCTATGCCCAAAAGCTTCACAACCTTACTAAACAACAACACCAGCTGGGGATCATATGAAACCATATGAGCCCATGAGGGCCATTTAACACGGAAACCCTAATGTGCTGAAAGTCATCTGTTAAAGATGGTGAAACTGCATAATGTGAGCAAAGCCATCCTCAAACCGGAAACATCAGCCTGACTCAGGAGGAAGCAGCTAAACCACTAAATTTCGGGATCTATCAGTTTCTCACAGCAATGCACCCAGTACCAACTAACGCAGCAGCAGCAGCACACACTGCAACTGATTCTCACAAAGATGCACATCGGCCTCCCTGAGCTCAGCACACACAGCAGAGTCATTTAAAATGAGAAAATGGCACTGCCCTGTGGGATTTTACAGCACAGTAGAGCCTAGGCTTATCAATCAACATTTTTTTTTTGGGGGGGAGCTTTCAAAGGATGCTGATGACAAGACCAGAATACTCAAAAGGCATCATAAAACTCACAACTGCTGTTTCTCTCCATTTAACTCTCAACAAAACTGAGAGTAGAGTTACTGTTGCCAGGTCTCTGCAGGGATTGCAGTTTGTTACCTATTGGAGATAATAAAACCAACCTGGCTGAACAAATGAGCTTGTTGTATTGCTTCATGACTGTGGACAAACAAGAATGGCATCAGGCATGAAAGCAGAGTATTTCAGCACAGTGTCAGGAGACAACAATCAGCACACAGTCAGCAGTGGTACCACGTCCCAGTAACAAATTTACATAAATAAATAAATAAATAAATAAATAAATAAAACCTTCTTAATCCCATTCACAATAGCTTCAAAAATACCTATAAATAAACTTAGCAAAGGCGGTAAAAGGCATCTCCTGTGAAAACTTAAGAAATGGAAGAAGATATTAGATGGAAAGACTGGCCGAATCATAGACTGATTGATGTGGTTAATATCATTAAAATGTCTATATTACTAAAAATCTACAAATTTGGTGAACTTTCAATTAAAATCCCAATGATATTCTACACAGAATTACAAAAAAAAGAGTCCTAAAACTAATAGCAAATCACACAGAAGAACCAAAGTACTATCATAATACCTGAGTTCAAATTATATAACAGAGCCACGGTGAAAAAGTATGGGGCTGGCACAAAAACAAACATGCAAACTCATAAAAATAGACTAGAGGACTCAGAAACAAACCTACACAACAGCCTGTTTTTTGGCAAATATGACAAAAGCATACATTGGTGGAAAGACGACAGCCTTTTAAACAAATTGTGCTTGGGAAATTTGATTTCCAAAGGTTTCTACTAGAAACCGGATCTACACCAATCAGCCTGAACAAAAGTCAGTTCAAAATGATCAAAGGCTTCATAAAACTGCTAGAGGAAAACAGGTAAAATATTTGAAGATATGGGCACAGACATGGAGTTTCTGAAAAGGACTCCAACAACACAGGAAGCAATCCCAAGAACTGACAGATGAGTTGCACAAAATTAGAGAGCTTTGGCACAACAAAAGAAAGGGGGGACACCAAAGTAAAGAGGTCTTTTACAGAATAATTTCTTTTTCACAAGGATTCATATTTAGGGTACATACAGTACTGCAATAATTAAGCATCCAGTTAAGTAATCATCCACAAACCCAAGTCATCCAGTTAACTAATGGGCTGATGACCTGAATGGATGGTTCTTAAAAGAGGAACGAATGGCCAATACATACCAGAAAATGTGTTCAACATCCTTAGCCATCAAGAAAACACAAAATAAAATCTCTTTGAGATTCAAGAAAACACACACATACACACACACACACACACACACACACACACACACACACACACACACACACTGACAATAGTGTAGGCAAAGAGGAACTCTGACTCATGGAGGATGGGAACGTTACTTTGAAGGCACATTATAGAAATCAATATTGAACTTCCAAAGAAACACCAATAGAACTGGACCATAGGAATGGTCCAGTTCTTACACTTCTGGATATATAGCCAAAGGGCTCTAAGTGGGCACACCACAGATATATATTCACGTCCATGTTATTGCTACAATAGCCAGGAAATGGAACCAACCTACAAGTCCATCAACTGATGAATGGATGGAAACAATGTGAAGCATATGCATAATAGCAATTACATATCCAAAAAGAAAATTTGTGATTATGATATTTGCAGGGAAATTGGTGTAATTATCAATCTTTATGTTAAGTGAAATAAGCCAGAAAGATAAAGAACTCATGCTTTCTCTTACAGAGTGAACACACACCCTAAAACATAGACATACAAGTAATATTGTTTGAACTTAAAAGGTTGTTTTCATATATTTGTAAGCACACATGTAACAACAATGAGAGAAAAAGGTCATGAATTTGAGAGACAGAAGGTGGGTACATGGAAGGTTTTGGAGGAGGAAAGAGAGGGAGGAATAATGTAATTGTAATATCAAAAAATTTTAAAATAGAAAAGGAAAAAAGATGACTAGAGAAGAAAAATGTATGTGTATGTGTGTTTTATATATGTGTGCATGTATGTGTTTATATGTATATCTGTGTATGCAGGTATGCATGTGTGTATGTTTATGAGGATGTAGATCATAAAATATAAAGAAGAGCTCTTAAATGAGTGGGGGAGTGTAGAGAGCAATAGAAACCTGTGATAATAAATCGGGTGGGGCACTAACTGAAGGACAGAAACCAGCCAATGGGAGGAAGGGGGCCAAGAGGAGGAGAATTAATAAGATCAAGTATATAAGTATAAAGATGCCACAATGACACCCATTGCTTTGTATGCTGACTCAAAATTTAAAAAGAAATAAAGAAAATAGAAAGCGTGCACCTAGAGGAACACCAGGCTTCTAGCCCTATACTGTCACTGGTAAGCCATTTGTCTTAATGTTTGTTACATTTGTCATCTATATAAAAAAAAAAAAAAAAAAAAAACAGGACTCCCAAAGCCTGACTCATGGAAGTGAAGAGGATTAGAGAAAATGAAGCTTGTGTAAATAGAGAACTGAATCTCCCAAGTTGTCTTCTAGCCTTCATAGGTACATACATGAGAACACACACTGAGACATAAGTAAAAGAAAACTTAAAAGAGGGAGAGAAGAGAGCAGGTGGAGGGGGATAAAGGGTAAGAAAAGGAGAGGGGAAAGAATGACATTATTTCTAAATTAAAATTAACAATTTGTCTTCAACATTATAATTTGTTTTTAAAAGTCTCATTCAGAAACTGTACAAGATGAGGAAAAAGGTTGAGATCGGGTATTTGTTTGATGCAGTTGCCATAGAAACAGAAAACCCAGAGCTATCTTAAGTCAGTAGCTCACCATAGTGTGGAATGATGCTCCAGGCCATGGCAGAAGCATAGATGCCCCCAGTCATCCAGAAGATGCCCAGCCAGCTAAGGTGTTCACCTCGTTTCTCCCGCGATAAGAACTCAGAAAAGTAGGCAAAAACAATTGGCAGGGAGCCCCCAATACTGAAGAAAGAAAACACCAGAAAGAGACAATCAAGTAATATACTAAAAAAGATCAGAACAGAAACCAAATTGCCTTCTACTATACATTTAGACTCTGGTGAAAAGCACATTAACTTAAGAGACCAGCAACAACCAGGCTTGCACTACATTTGGAAAGGAATCTTGGGTCCTTTGGGCTTTGAAAAGGTTATTGCATTCATTCACTCATTCATTTATTTGATTAATTGTGTGTACATGAACACACAAGACATGATATGATGCACAAAGGCTAGACAACAACTTGTGGGAGTTGGTTCTCTACTTCCACAATGTGCATTCTAGGAATTAAACTCAGGTCAACAGGCTTGGTGGAAGACCCTTCTACCCACTGAGTCATGTTGTCTGTCCTTAACTTGAATATAGTATCTTTAAAATCAAGCAAAAGCACTTAATCCAAGTGCTTCTTGAGGTATCACATGCAGCTAGAAGGCTAGAGGAGATGGATGCATGGTGGAAAACGGGTGCATACCCTATGCCTGAGATGAGTCTGCAGAAAAGAAAGGCTCCATATCCCTGTACGAAGGAGGAGAGGGAGGCGAAGGAGGCATTGATGGCCAAGGACATGCTGAGGACTCTCTTCCTTCCCAGTTTATCAGCCAGACCCCCCAGGATGAAGGCTCCTGCCATCATTCCTAGGTAGACTATCAGTCCTGTGAAGAAGAAAAATACAAGGGGTAAAGAGAGAAGACAAGACTTTAGAGAGCATTAATTACCTTCTACCCCACCCTCAGGCTCTGTAGTGAAATAACACAAAAATCTGAGAGACCAGCCTGGTGTTGGCCATTAGCATTCATCACCCAATGCTTGCTTTACCCATCCTAGAAACCCCATGTCAAGCACATTAAAAGGGGGAATGGAACAAGATCTCTATAGCAAATCAGAAACTCTCCAACATGCTGCCATTGCAACAAAGCAATAAGCTCACTAGCTTTGCATGTATACATACCAACACAGATCAACTGAAATTAGGATATCATACTATTCTAAAGGCTGTGCATTGCTTTTAAACAAGACAAATGTACTGTAAAGGCCCTCACATGAGATATGATGTTTAAAGAGAGAATTTCCAGGATAAATTGCATGGGAAACATTGCAAAGAGGGAAAATAATGGAAATGTAAAACAACAATTGGCAACAGCATCAACTGACTTACACACACACATGAGCATGTTTTTTCAAACTACAGTGTTTGGACTTCTTTAGCAAAATATAGTTATATAATTTATAACAGTGTGTGATGAGTCCAATTTCACTCCTTTGCATGTGGGATTCTAGTGTTCACCACACTGTTTATTCACGAGATTGTCATTCCCCTGTTGCGTTTTATTGGCATCTTTCCCAAAGGCCAATCCACCATGTGGCTGAAGAGATGTCTCTGTGTATAAAAGCACTGGCTGTTCTTTCAGAGGACCTGGGTTTAATTTCCAGTACCCACATGGCAGCTCAAAACCATCTGTAACTCCAGTTCCAGGGAACCCAATACCCTCTTCTGGCCTCCTCGAACACCAAGCACAAATGTGGTGCACAGAAATTAATGCAGGCAAAACACCCATACACATTAAGTAAATTTAAATATACATATTTAAAAGACCAATCAACCCTAAATTTGTGGCTTTATTGCTAGATCACAGTTCTCTTCCGATGATTCTTCTGTGTCAGTACCATTCTATCTCGACCTTATAGTTTTGAAATATATATGAAGTTGGGCAGAGAGTGATGCCATCAACTTTGTTCTTTTATCTCGAGATTTCTTTTAGTCTTGTGTTCCATACAAATTTTACATTTTTTCCCTAATACTGAGAAAAATGGCATTGGGATTTTTGATGAGGGTTGCATGTGAGATAAAAGAGGATTTTTAACATTATCAGTTCTTCCATCTATGAACAAGAGATATCTTCCCACTTACTTGTATCTTCTTCAGCATCCTTCTTCAATGTTTTAGGGCTTGGTGTGTGGCTCTTTTATTTCCTCGCTCAAGTGTATTCTGAAGTATTTGTTGATGCTATTGTAAATGGCATTGGTTTTAATTTCTTTTTTTCAGATAGCTCATTTTTCACGTTTAAAAATGGTACTGATTTTTGTGTGTTGGATTTCCCATGCTACAACATAACTAAAATTGTTCACTAGTTCCAACAGGTTGATTTTTGTTTTGTTTTGTTTTGTTTTGTTTTGTTTTGTTTTGTTTTTATGGTGTTTAGGATTTTTTCTATAGTGTTGTATAATCAGCAAATGACATTTTTGCTTCTTCCTTCCTGATTTGGATGCCTTTAATTTATTTCTCTTGCCTGAAGGCTCTGACTAAGGATATTCCAGTACTAAGTGAAAAGAGTGGAGCATCCCGACCTTGCTCTTGGTCTCACCAGAAAGTTTTCACTATTATTAAGCATAATTCTGGCTCTGGGCTTGCCACTCATAACTCTTAATATGGTGATGTGCACTCCTCCTTCCCATGATTTGCTTTAAGTTTTGAATCATGGTGCCTGCATAGCTTTATGTCAGCTTGACACAAGCTATAGTACCATGACAGAAGGAAGCCTCAACTCAGTAAAAATGCCTCCCTTTGACCAGGCTGTAAGCTTACTAAGCTGTGATATATTTTTTTCAAATTAGTGATTGATGAGGGAACGTCCAGATCACTGTGGATGGTACTAACCTGGGTTTGTTTCTATAAGAAAACAGTCTGAGCAAGCCATGGAGAACAAGCCAGTGAGCAGCTCCCATTCATAACCTCTGCATCAGCTCCTGCCTCCTAATACACACCCGGTTTGAGTTCCTGTCCTGACTTCCTTCAGTGATGTACTATGGTTGTGAAAGCATTAGCCAAACCAACTCTTTCCTCTTCAAATTGCTTTTGGTCATAGTGTTTCATCATATCCATAGAAACCCTAAGTAAGACACACATATTAAACTGTCTTTACATTGCAAGAAAAAGGAATTCTACTTGATCATGTTGTATGATCTTCCAAATTTGTTGTCGTATTTGATTTGGTAATATTTTGTTGAGGACTATTGTATAAAGTCTTATCTGGAACCTTGGCTATAATCATCTTTCCTTGAGTTTTCTTTGTCTATCTGAAACAGGTCCCAGACTTTAGCACAGGCACAGTTGTCTCCATTACAGAAGCACCATTCCGGCCTTAAGACCCAGCACATAGGCAGCAATGGTTGCCAAAACAGGAACAAAAGCTAAGTAGCTAATTCTAGGATCTGGCTGAGAAACTCCCTGACTGCACTAACCTTTCATTTTTAGCTTCTGTAGTTTTGCTTCTTGCTAGCCGAAGTATATCATCCAGGATGTGGGTCTTGTGCCTAAAACACCAAGAGCTGTAAGGCTCAGGGCTGCTTGATTCGAGCTCATTGCTCCATGCCGCTGCTAGCCAGCACATAAAGAATTTCTTCTCAGCTTTAAGAGTGTCTATGCAGTAGTCACTGAAGGGTTTGGTGTCACAGTGATGCCTGTTTATAAAAGTGAGTTTGGAGATGCTTAAAATGGGGGTGGAAGAGTCTAAGAAAGATTGCCATTAGTTCTTCTCCAGCTGTTTGGTAGGGCCCACCGGTGAAGACTCCAAGTCTTAGGTTTTGTTGTATTGATAAGTGCTTAATTACTGATTTAATCTCTACTAATTTTTAGTCTCTTCAGATTTCCTGCTTCTTGTGATTCAGTCTTAGTAGTATGTTTCTATAGGTTTATCTATTCCTGGTCATCTAATTTGTTGACACACACTTGTTCACAGAGGTATGTTATTATCTTTTAGAACTCTGGTGTCAGCTGCAATGTTCCCTCTTCCATCTATTTTTGTGAGTCTGCTCTCTTTTTCCTTAGGTCAGCCAAAAGTTTATCAGTTTTGTCTATCTTTGAAAAAATAAAAGAGCCCAGAGCTATTACTCGTTACTGCTCCTTGTAGACAAACATTGGCTAGATTTCTTTTCTCTGTATTAGTCCATTCCTCTTTGTTAGTCATCTCCAGGACAACCTGCTAAGTGGGGAATAGTTCCTTCATTGCAAGGAGATAAAAATAAAATATATCATCACTACTGAGTGAGAAAATATGTGTCAAATATTAAAACGTGGAAAAGGAATCTCAGTGTCAGAAGGCTTCCAAGAAAAATATTCTGCTCATATTGAAGTGGTCATTAAAGACTATTACTGTGACTGAAGAAATGATTCAGTTAATAAAATGCTTTTCATACAAGACTAAGATATTGTTCACATATCCAAACCCACATAAGCACCTGCTTGTAATCCCAGATAGGAAAAAAAGACAGGAGGATTCCAGACGCTCACATGCCAGCTAGCCTGCCATGGGCAGTAGAAAAACAACAAAACAACTGTGTCTCAAACATGGTAGAAGTCCAGTTCGTCCTCTGATCTCCACATACATAGCACAGTATGATTAAGCCTGAGTACACATGCCTGCACTCATACCTGAATGCACACACAGATACACAACCACGCATCATACACACACAGGACAGTGTCCAGTGGCATGTGCAAATACAGGAAGGAAAAAAGAAACTCTGGCATGTCTGAGCGACCACTGGCATGTAGCTGAGTGTGAATGATGTATAGTTAGTGGGTACCTGAAGGGGATCCGAGGCTAAAGTGTAGGACATAATTGTAAAGAGCTCTGCATCTGCGTGTGTAACAGAGGAGGGAGCCTGAGTTCCTGCATCTCTAATAAGCTCTCAGGTGAGGTTGGCCCTACTGGTCCAGAAACAAGGCTTTGAATAGCAAAAGGACTGACAGCTGTTAGCCACCATGAGGACACTGGATTCAGAACCCAGTGGTTTCCTCTACCAAGTGTATGTTTTTGAAGAAAAAGCTCTTGCCCTCTGGGGCATGAGAATCTTAGCTACCTCATTCATAAACAATTTGCCGAACTCCAAGCCATCTTCCAACACTTTTGTTGTTGTTGTTGTTGTTAAAGAAATACAAATCATGAAAGATGATTTGTTCTGTAGACTTGTCACTTAGAACTCTTTGGGTTAAAAACAAGCCCCACAAGATGCCTGAGAGGGAAAAGATGATTGCCAGGGATCCAGACAACCTGAATTCAATCTCTGTAACTCGGAGGGTGGAAGGAGAGAGCTAAATTTCCCCAAGCTGGCCTCTGATTTCCACATGCATGCCACTGCACAACACACACACACACACACACACACACACACACACACACACACACACACACACACACAATAAATAAATAAATAAATGTGTAAAATTAAACATAAGCCTAAACAGATGTCTAATAAAACTCCCAAGGGCCTCAAGACATGTTTTTTGTTTGTTTGGTTGGTTTTGGGTGTTTTTTGTTTGTTTGTTTTTTTCCAGAAGTTATTCATTTACTAGCCCAGGAATGAACACAGTGCTAGGCATTAGGCTATAGTCTCCCAGTTCCAAAGTCATTCTGGACCTTACTTGATGCTGCTTCCTTCTAAGCTTTCTCCACAGAGGATGAGAGAGTGACTCAAAGAGCAGGTTAAGGTCCTCTTCCCATCCTGTTGAGCCTCTGATGGCTTCATCATCCTCTCTCACAGAGGCAGTTCCTCCTCATGATAACAGATGAATCCAATTGGCAGAAGCCCCACTGTGCCCCCATCCTCCTTTCTCACATCATGGTGAGCCATCCAGGACACTTCTTCTGAAACA